GATGGGATGGGATGGGATGGGATGGGATGGGATGGGATGGGATGGGATGGAATCAATGGGATGGAATGGGATTGGGATGGGATCCTTGGGATGGGATCCTTGGGATGGGATTCATGGGATGGGATCATGGGATGGGACTGGGATGGGATGGGATAATGGGATAATGGGATGAGATCATGGGATGGGACGGGACTGGGACAAGATGTCATGGGATGGGATGGGATCAATGGGATGAAAATGGGATTGGGATCGGGATTGGGATTGGGATTAGGATTGGACCTCACCCCTTCCTCCCCGCAGATCGCGAGAAGAGGCTCAGCCTCCCGCAGATCCCGGCGCTGTGAGTGATCCCGCCCCTTTTCCCGGGATTCCCGGCGAGGGGCCGGGATCCCGCTCCGTGCCCCCGGCGCCGCTCCCTGACCCTCTTCCATCCCATGGATCCCTCAGGAATGTCGGCGAGAAGCTCTCCGCGCTTTCCCGCAGCCTCAGCGGCGGTGAGTGCCGCCCCCTCCCTCTTCCCACCATTCCCATTCGGGAATTCGGGACCCATTCCTGGGATTCGGGAATTCTGGACACCCCCAGCTCATCTCCAGAGGGTTGGGATGCATCCAAGCATCCTGGAGGAGCAGCAGAGCCTCTGGAGGTGCTGGAAGAGCTCCCACAGCCCCGAGATTCCTGATCCCGTTGCCGCATCCCGTTTTCCCGCAGATTCGGAAATTTACGCGGAAATCCTGGACGAATCCTCGAGGCCGAGATCCGGAAGTAGGTGCTTCCCTTGGGAATTCTCCTGCCCATCCCAAATTCCTGTCCCAGCCTCACCAAACCTCCGGGAAGGTCCTGGGAGAGCTGGGAGGAGGCATGGGGTGGGATCCATGGAAAATCGGGATGATGGAGAGGGCAGGATCCATGGATCCATGAGTGGAGAACAGGATCCATGGATGGAGATGCAGGATCCTCATGGATCCTCATGGATGGAGATGTAAGATCCATGGATGGAGATGCAGGATCCATGGATGGAGA